AGTCGTTAGACCATTGACCTCGCATCCCTACAAAGCCGGGACGGAGCACGCCGGGTTCTCACCGGACCAGGCTCTCACATCACCAAGCGCGAAGCGCCGTGAGATATTCGGCGAGTCGCATGAAGGGTGCGCTGCACGAAGGGAAAATGGATAATTCGCAACATGAGGATTCTGAACAAGACCAAGACCAAGACCAAGAACAAGAACTAGAACAAGAACAAGAACAAGAACAAGAACAAGAACACGTCGCATGAATCTGCGAAGTGCTGGAAGGAGCATGGATCATCAACTCGAGAGAAACAACAAAAAAAGACAACAAGCCGAGCTACGGCGGTTATCGCTTTGGAACAGACTGGCTAACTTTGTGAATCATGATCATCAGAATCAAGACCAAGACATAAGGATCAAGACCCCATCAGCTGGAGAACCTGTACGGCCGCCAGCATCCATACCGATACCAACTACATATCAAGAAGCCATGAGGTCTATGGACGCCGATCAATGGAAAGCAGCTATGGACAAGGAAATGAGGAGCCTAAATCATGATGTGGCGGATCTAGTCCCAATTCAGAGTCTACCCCCTGGAGCTAAGCCTATTGGATCAAGATGATTGTACAAAATGAAAGCAACTGGAGTAATGAAGGCAAGACTCATCGTACAAGGCTGGGGACAACGACATGGCATCGACTGTGGAGGAACTTATGCACCTGTGAGTCGATTAAGTTCGCAGTTAGTATTAATGGCGATTGCAGCGGAGAGAGGATACGTTGTGGAAACCATGGACGTGGTAACTGCATTTCTTCAAAACAGCGTGGAAGAAGAAGTGTACGTTAGTCAAGCCAAAGGATACGAAATAACGGATGAAGTTACGGGACTACCACTGGTGATAAAGCTCAAGAAAAGCTTCTTCTACGGACTGAAGCAAAGCCCTCGGAACTTCGGCAACGCATTTGCTAAAGGGATTAAAGAAATCGGGTTTACTGCTCTACTGAGTGACACGTGCGTATATGTGTACGGAACTGGACCGATATATGCGAAACTATGTGTGTACGTGGACGACTGCACACTAGCCGGAAGGACACCAAGTGTTGTACAAGACTTGAAGAAGCAATTATCGGACAAGTTCAAGATGACCGATGGAGGACCGGCGGAACTACTACTAGGGATGGAGATTTCTCAACGTGACGAAGAAATCACTGTGAGCCAACACAAATACGTGATGAATATTCTGGACAAGTACCAGATGGTGGATTGCAAACCAGCAGCAACTCCAGGGAGCGGACCGGAAATCGAACAAGAGCCGGAGAACGCTATTGTTGTTGTTGTTGTTGTTGTTTCTCACATTAGCTCTATAGTCCACAAAAAATGGGGAGCCCGTGGTCTCAAAACCCGGCACATACGACGCCGCGAGAAAACAAAAAAACAAAAATAGGATACAAACCACTCGGAAAAAGAAAACAAAATGATCGAAAGAAAAGAACAGGTATCGCACCTACCGTTCGAGAAAAGAGCCCTCGGACACCGATCAAAATAAAACAAAACAAAAATAACAAAAAAAATAAAGGAGGACGCTTCCCACACCCGCCGAAAGAAAAAATCAAAGGGTAANGATGAAAAAAAAGAAACACAGCACAGGGCCGAAGGTAATACAAGGACAGACATAAAGGAGTATAGCATACGGCAGGGAGGGAAACCGGGCGCAACAACATCAGCCGGGTGCATAGTTCGCCACAAGCGTTGCCTCGGCCGCCCTACTCGCTTCTACNCCAGCGGAACTACTATTAGGAATGGAGATTTCTCAGAGCGACGGAGAAATCATTGTGAGCCAACACAAATACGTGATGAATATTCTGGACAAGTACCAGATGGTGGATTGCAAACCAGCAGCAACTCCAGGGAGCGGACCGGAGATCGAACAAGAGCCGGAGAACGCTATATATTTAAGCGAAGAGGACAAGAAACTCTACCAAGGAATTGTCCTAAGTCTACTCTTCCTGACTAACACAACGAGATGGGAGATTGGATATGCCGTGATGGTCCTGTGCAGAGGGATGAACAAGCCTACTAATCAACATATGGTCGGAGCAAAGAGAGTGCTGAGATACCTTCGAGGATGCCCGGATATGCCACTGAAGTTCAGGAGAGGACAATGGGACCTGAAGTGCTACTGTGACGCGAGCTTCGCTGGATCGAGCGAGAGGCTTCAGAAGTGTTCTTCTACTGGATACACCTTCATACTGGCGGGAGGCGTCATCAGTGCAGCATCAACTCTGCAGAAGCNAAATCAACATATGGTCGGAGCAAAGAGAGTGCTGAGATACCTTCAAGGATGCCCGGATATGCGACTGAAGTTCAGGAGAGGACAATGGGGGGACCTGAAGTGCTACTGTGACGCGAGCTTCGCTGGATCGAGCGAGAGACTTCAGAAGCGTTCTTCTACTGGATACATCTTCATACTGGCGGGAGGCGTCGTCAGTGCAGCATCAACTTTGCAGAAGCTAACAGCTCAGTCAAGCGTACATGCGGAGATCATTGCAATGGCTACAGCAGCTAGGGAAGCCATCTATCTGCAAGGTGTACTATCGGAGCTTGGATTTCCATGTGGAAATATTCTGATTCATTCGGATTCTACGGGAGCTATGAGCACAGCAGGAAACTCGATGTTCCGAGGCCGCAGCAAGTTCATCAGCACGAGATACTGGCTACTTCGACAGAATGTCAACAAGGGAAATATTGTACTGAAGTTCGTGAGGAGTGAGGAGCAGCTTGCGGACATATTGACCAAGCATCTGGAACGTGTCCAATTCGTCAAACTGCGGACATTGGTTCAAGAACATGGAGGATCTCCGATATAGGAGATCAAATGCGGAGGAACTACAGAGACGACCGTTTNGAACTGCTGACATTGGTTCAAGAACAAGGAAGATCTACGAAATAGGAGAAATCGTGCGGAGGAACTACGGAGACGACAGTTTCAGAAGTAAATGGACAGTACGAGAAGGCTGACGCAACGACAACATCAATCACACCACTGATCAACCACCTCGACAAGGACAACAACTACTACTACCAACGAACAAGACGGCTACACCGATCACTACAAGAACGACAAGCAACAATCTGAACTATGGCATCATCGGAGAATGGGTCTGGACTTATGTCAAGCGATGAAGAACTTCACGTCAGACAACAGCAACAGCACGACGAGGAAATCCACGCCGACGACTCACCAGATGGGTCTATTCTTATGACTGAGAGATTCAAGCTTGTTCAGCTTGATGAATATTTAGGAAGTGACTCATGAAAACATTGGATGATTTTGAAGTTCAACAGGCAAGGGAACTTGTCGAGGAACTGTGATTTCGATGGAAAAAGATTTTTCTGCACTGGTAAACTATTTGCCATCAAGAAGCACTGAGACAGTACTGTTCTGTACTGCGAGATTCTACACCCTGCAAAGAATGTGGAACCAGCGTATGATTGTTACGAATGGGATTGTACCTAGTTATGCCATGAGCAGACATGTGCATGATGGGTTATTGACCCGTGTGTTAGGAATGAAGGTTCAGAATACTTATAGGATTTGTGCAGTAGATTTAGGACAATAATGAGACTGTTGAAGCATACATACATACGTGATATTGCGTCCATCATGGGGGCGTGTTGAAATACAGCACATTACTGCTGTAGGATGTGCGTAGTAGCATAGATATTGTTGTTGTTGTTGTTGACTTCACATTAAACCGTATGCCAGTTGCCTAATGCCAAAATCTAGCAAAGACTCTCAGCCCGTGGTCACGAAAGTGCTGGAGCCATCTGAGGATCTAAAGAACACGCACACGTAGCAAGAAAAAGGTATCCAAGAGCCCGAAGAGGTACTACTACACCTATATATAATCCCTGCAGCACCGTACGCGTGCCCAAAACTGAACTACACGTCCGTCTCACCGTTCGACTACAGTAACATCACCCCCTACCTGTCCCACTCTGTACCAAAACGAATGATTGCCGACTACAGCATACTTGCTGTCTGAAGTGCTGTCTGTACAAAAACACCATGGTAGGCATGGAACAAGAAGCTGGCGGGGCACAAAGCTGCTGTCTGAAGTGCTGTCAGAATGTGTCTGCGGACGTACA